AAAAGTGTCCGACAGTGCACATAAATACATGTATGAAGCCGTTTTAGCACTCTGCTATGAATTTGAAAGAAAAACGCCGTAATTGACTAATATTTTTGTCTGCTTGCCTGAGAAATGTACCAAGCTATCGTGATATCTGCTCTTATTATCAAGCGCAGGGAGAAAATGCACTCACTTTTTCCCATGGAAGTCATCTTTCGACTGCTTGCTGTCTGCTCCCATTTGCAAGAGCACACTAGTGCCAGTTGAGCTTCTAGCGTACATTATAAATAAATTATGCCTTCGATCATGGCCTCCGAGATTTTTCTCGCGCAGGCTGTGCTCTTTAGGCCATTGCATTCGCCGGTAGAAACTGTTACTGCGGGGCGCTTGGTGGCGTCGGCAACCGCGAATTATCAGCATTGCCATTATCTATGGTCTACTATGTCCACGGAACTTGGGAGCAGCGCGAAATGTGCTCCCCGCCTCTCGCCGCAACACACAGGCCTTTGGCAAGGAGGAAGTTGATCGAAATTTGAAGGTTCATCCTTTCAAAGCGCGAAAGGTGTACAATAAATGTACGTGCACGTCAGTGAAGTTCAGAAATCTGTTCTCATGCATGATGGCAAATATATTTATATGCCTGTCCCGCCGGCCCAGACAGTATCCGCAGCGACAAATAGAGATTCGCACTAAAGCTTGCATTCTGAGGTATCATCCAGCGAAACAGCGCAACGATGGGAGCAGCGAATAAAAATTACGAATCAACAAAGATCGACTTGCCTTTCTAATGACGAGAACAATGATGATGCGAGCTTCATGCCGCGGGCTCATAGTTGACAGCGTGCTTTGAGGCGATTCTGTTTCCGATCCTGGTTTGGTTCTAAGCGCCGCATGCGGAAATCTCAACTGGCTCGGTTCGATTTCTCTGCTGGGCAGCCCAGCATTTAAAGAAGCCAAAGCAGAGCGCGCGAAAAATCTCGGAAGTCATGACATACTTCGATGAGCCTTCGATAACGCAGCTGCGGCCTATCGCGAGCTTCGAGCATGGCTGCGCGTTCGGCTGGGCATTCGGAATCTCGATGCTCCAACGCTCGGTCTCCCGACGTCACGGCTCAGCGATACGAGTAAAAGAGCAAAAACATACATGCTGAGGGACAGAACGAGCGGGTTGGTATGGATAGTAAACTTGAGGAAGAAAACGAGAAAGGACGGACAAACACAAACTTTTGTGTTTGTGTTTGTCCGTCCTTTCTCGTTTTCTTCCTCAAGTTTACTATACATGCTGACTTCTTCTGATGAGGGCCATGAATAGATATCAGAAAAATGTAGAATTATGTTATTATTAGGGTGTGTATTTTCCGGTTTTAACCGAAAAACACCGATAAACATCCGTCGGTGACGAAAATATAAAATCGGTTAAAACCGAAAAACACCGGTGGTTGGATATTTTCGCCCTGGTTAAAACCGAAAAACACCGGTCGTTGCTAGTTTCCGACCTAGCGAAACCCTTTCCCCGTAGAGGTTCGTCAAACGTGTTATCTCGTGGATCTTGCATCCTTCCAGTGTTTATACATGGCTTGCAGGTGGCGCCAGTCCGCCCTCCTTTCTGGGGGTCAAAAGCGTCTAGTGAACGCAGTGGAAGCTAAGCTCTCATACGCCTTTCACCTATTGTGTCTCCCATGGCCCCCTTTTGGGGAAAAATTAACACATTGGAGGGTAGGCTCTCACGTGGCTTTTCCTCGTTGTGTGTGGCCAAGTGATGTCGGTGAAAGCCATGTATTCAGAGGTTGCTGTGGTTCCTGGAAGACACTGCCAACGTCCGTGTCGTACAGGAGAGTACGTTTTCATAATTGCGGGTTGCGAACCGCAAGGAACGTGCTGCCATGAGGGCAGCACGTTCCTTGCGTGTAGATGGAAGCATGAAAGTGTGTTTGCATCTACTATAATAACCAAGTGTGAGAAATAGTTGCTTCCTAGAGAAGAAGTGTATGAACCATGTGAATAAAACTGGAACTCTCTGCCTGTGATCAATCGCTTTTTTTCACCGATATTCACCGATTTTAGCCTCGTCGTGAGACGTTCCACCGAAATACACCGGTGTTTTGAAAATAAATAAACACCGAAAAACATCCGCCGATTTTTCTCACAAATAAACACCGGAAAGTACACATCCTAGTTATTATTTAGGATGTAATGTTCGTCCCGGTATTCACTCGGGGGAGAGATCCGCTCAGGGATGTGCGTGACGTCGACAGCAGGCGCAATTTCTTCCTCAGCTTCGCCGTTCTCTCCGACAAAATACCAGGGGGAAGGATGTCGGCGTTTGCAGTCTTTTTGAGCACTTTCCACACTTGACACCAGCGCAGATGAATTTAGCGAGCTCTATATTTCACACCAAATAGTTTAACGACAAAATAGTATTGAAAACAAACTGATCCGCCGCCAAACCAGGATTGTTTGTGCCGCCCAAGCATCCCTCTCTCCCTGCTCCACGCAGCTGACGTCGCAGTGCCGCATCGCAGAATGCTGACGTTTTCGTCGAGTGATGCGCGCGCTGGGGAGAAACCCCCGGGATTTCTTTCTCGTATTGACACCCCTTTACATGCTCGAAGATTCACCGGCTGACATTTCTGAAGCCTCATGTTGTACAAGTGGTCGCGCGTTAAATTGAATTGCATTCTCAAATGAAGATCTTAGTATATGTCACATTGACAGCCTATACCAACTTTTATAATTAAGAGAAAATTCACGAAACGTTTGGCTTGACAAAAGTAACTTTCTAGCAATTAACAGACAGTCCAAAAGCCTCGTTGCAGCCAAAAAAGCGCGTTCGGTGTTTCAGTTTCACTTAAAAAACTATAGCGTCACGACATTATTATTTTACCGCTCATGTAAACTGTATAGACCGCCTCATAAATACGAGCGTCACTCAGGGCTCACCGGGACTTTCATTTTAAAAAAAAAGGAAATAAACAATTCGACAAACACACAACTGTGCCTGTTTTTTTTTTGTTTTTTTTTTTCTTTTTAAGTTTTTCACGCTCGTTTGCAGGCACCGTTGATGTTGTTGTTTCGTCAGTCCTCTGATTCAATCCTTTGGCGTCAAAAGGACTCGGCTGCGTAACTGCAGTCGGACGAGCGTCTCTGTGCGGTTCATTTATCACTGGCTATTTTCCCTCGCCAAACTCTTGGCACCATTCGTACACTCTTGTTCGTAAAACTATGTTTCCCATAGTTTGCTTGCAATCTTCTCGATGCTTTCTCCTTCACCACAAATTGGATTATGCACCGCTTCCCCGCGGTTACAGATAAACTACTTGCCGCCATAATAGCTGTAATTGCTGCGCATGTAGCACCTACAGCTGTCATGGCAGTCGTTATTCATTTCGTGAATACGTGATTCTGAGCGCGCTATATTCAAGAAGGATTATGTGTAAACGCCCTCAGCAAGTTTGACCGTTCTTAACCTGTTCAGCGATTGTTTAGGGAAATATTTTCAGGTCCAACTTGAACGACCCTCGTAGATCATGTTTGCAGCACCGAGGTGACTGGCAACGTCTTGTCGTTCATTTCTGGTTTGTGTTATCGGGCGCATCTAGGAATCCGAAGACGGAGCCTCGGTTTTTTGGTGTCGTGATCTCTTCCTCCAAAAGTCGACAACGTTGTTCTTCGACCAACGTCCTACTTCACCCATTCCGCTTTCTAGCGTCGCGTGTCACTTTTCTTTTCGCAATATCATTACTTTCCACGCTCACGCATTTCAAGTCAAACGACACAAACAAATTAGAATACTGCGATAACGCGTATAGTCATATAACGCAATAGAACACCGTGCGTGCGGTGGAAGAAGGAGGAGATGTCTGAACGGGCACCGCCTCGTCACAGAACGAGCGTATCGAGGATTCGCTCGCATTTTTGGCAAACGCCGTCAGATTCGCAACTTGACTAGAGCTCGAAGGACCGTCCTTATTCGCGCACGCGCTTTCATGACCGCGCCCCCTAAACCGACAGTGCCCGTGCCGGGAGACTCGCAAATCCCGAGCGACATCCCGAACTTCTTTCTGCCTTTGTTCAGACACCCAGCTTTCTGTTCTTCTACCGTGACCCTGCGTATCGGGAATATTCACTGGACGCCATATTTGAGGGCGATGTTTAGAGCGCATGCTCGGAACGAGCTCTTATTAATAGCCTGCTCAGACCGGCAATCTTGGTGGTGCGGAATTCACGTGGCGAAAGAACTATGGAAGCAAGCCGTCAGCACGCGCTCAACAGTCGCGCACACAGCTATGGCCGCCAGCGAATACTCCCTATTAAGTCACTTTATGGTCACACGCACGGCAACTTTGTCATTCAGAAACCTGGATAAAATATCAACCGTTCTCGATATCGCGTTACTTTCCATTTAATTTTATTGCAATCCTAAGCACACTAACCATGCTTAGTTTTATCGCATTGTTTTGCATGACCAGGTGATGGGTGGAAAAAAAAAAACTAAATAAAGTGCCAAGAAAGCTGAGCATCAAAACAGAGAGGAAACATAAGCGCGCTGGCAAGCGGAAAGGCGAGCTCAATGTTCCAGGCCGGAGTCCAAACAAACAAAAAGAAAACGAACAAAAAGTTTGCATATATTGTGGCCGGCAGACGATGCGTGACACCGTTTAAAGCGCAATCTCGAGTCCACTCGTTAAGGCTTTCCGCTTCGGCCATGCGTCGCGAGGCTATAAACAGTGGTCCCGATACGCGTCCATAAAAGCGTAATGAGAGCCATCGTCCTTTCAACGCGGATCTGGTCGTTAATTGAGCTGCTCAACTACGCGCCTAGTAAGCCGACCTAGCAGTCGCATCCTTCGCGCACCATAAATGAAGCGCTCGCGCGAAAACAAAAGGAAAACAAAAAGAAGCCCCCGGATAACGGGTCAAAGATACGAGGAGATCCAGGAAGGAAAAGCTGTGCACCCTCAACAAAAGGACCCCCAAAGGGGCAAAGGATTGAGACGTCTGGCTCGTCCTATCTGATTTCGGCCTCACCGCATGCGTATCACTGATACAACTCAGTCAGGCTTCGTGGGTTGTCGGAACAATAAAACTTTAAACAGGATAAAACAACGGAAAGTGCAAGCCTGGGGAGAGTAATGAATAGAAAGAGAAAGAGAGTAAAAAGGGGGGGAAGGGCAAACCGTCAGGTGCGTCCGTTATATTTTTGTGTTTACGAGAGACCCTGAGACCCGTGACGTAAGCGTATAGCGTTATCGCTGGCTAAAGCCACAGCTGAGTTGGTTCGGCGCTGCACAAACTATCGGAGGCTCGCTCCACGCAGCGTCGGAATTGTCGGCGAAGACGACGTCGCGCTTCGGATCGGTGTGTGCAACCATACTAACCGCCTGCCGGTTACCTGGGGTCCGCTGGGAGCTTGCGTCCCTTGCCTTCGTCCACCCGTCATCTCTCTTCTGGGGAATTTTCTCTGGTCCGTGAAAAGCCAATATGATCAACTGCGTCGCCTACCAGTACCGGGTGAGTGGATTCAGAGACCTAGGAATTATTTGGTCCTCCTGACTTTCTGACGACTATGAGCTCCGGAATGTGAGCCGTCTCTGTAGAAATACCTCGGTGGCGTAGCCTCAGTTCTGCTGCAAGCACTAAAAGAATTTTCAATCGCGCTTCAAGTGCTTCAAAAAAAGAAAAAAAAAAGCGGACGCATAGTTTTGTCAATGCGAGACATCAACACACACAAATGTAAATTAAAGCCACGTCTTTTCTTTTATTTTCGAGCCTTCTTAGTAGCTCTGCCTTGAATGTCTACCTTTGCGGTAAATGTAGAGAAAATGCATTGCATTGCATTAAACTTTGTAGGTAAACAGTGATTCAAAGACGACGACAGATGGGTAACAAATCCGGCGGACTGCCGAATGGCAGTCGGCCGGAGTCACCGCCTGATTTACGCTTCGAATGCCGCGTGGCATTGAGTTGAGGGAGAAGACTTGGCACGCGGAATTTGAACCACGGCTATTGCGGTGACTTGTGTTTGCAGGCTGTCTTTTGTATAAGAGTGTGAACACTGAGAACCCGGCTTGAGGTTTATCCTACTGGACATAGATGAGTCCAATATGGGAATCCGTACATTAAGTTGAACTTTGTAAAAGAAGTATCATTGAAACGCAACAAATCTACTCCTGTAGTGGTGTCACTCGTTTCTCAGTTAACGCCTCTGCAAAAAAGAAAAACAAATCGTTTTTTTTTATTGGCAATTCTGGCATGCGTATAATGGAATGCTGTTAAAGTTCTCCGCCGGAAATACGGTAGATGTGCATCCTGGATAACCCGAACGTCATGAGATGTATATGTGCAATCGACAAGAGTTGAATCGCGCATACGAGAGAGAATTTGTATATGTAATTAATGGATCAAGCATCGGCTGATATGACAACGGTATCCGAAACGTCACGATGCGAGGACTTTCGCTTATCATGTTCACACGTTAATTTACCTAAGTTGTTATAACGTTTGCGGGTTGTCTCGTAATCTTGCTTCGCCGCGTAAAATGTACAAGCCCGATCATGCAATGTAAAAACACAACCGGAGAAATAAAAAAGCATAGCACGTATAGCCAGTGCAGGGGAACGTAGTAAATATGTATATTTTAATTATGTAAGTCTTATTATTTTGTTTTTATAAAACGAACGAAGCTAAGCGAATACCACTCACAAAAAAACTCACGTGTTCATGATTAACTTCGGCCGTTATTCTCAACAAGCCTTCGTATGTAAACGCTATTTTTTCTTTTTTTTAAATTTAATCTTTGAAAATTAGCGGAGGTGTTCCCACTGAATTCACAGTGTCGGCTATTGTCGACGTGAGGGATCGAAAGCGTCGCTGTGGTCGGTCCACCACAATTGGCCGAATGCTGCCTATGACGTCAGCAAAGGATGTCTCATCAAGGGAAATAAGAGGAATGGAAGACCTTCAATTTCGACGGCATTGGCAGCAATGCTTTGAGAGCGCTATGATTTCAGGCCTCCACCATGCCCATCACAAACACCATCGAACTTGTTGAACACAAGGTAATGACGTCACGAAAGGTAACCAAACGAGGGCGCCACGGAAACATCTCGTCGCTAATATCCATTTCAGTCTTCGCCAAATACAATTTAATTTAAAAAAAAAAAAAACTTCTTTTTTTTTGGTGAAATCTGAGACGGCTCGCGGAAGTCGAACGAGGACACGAGGCGGTGACCTTGGCGACGCGTGATCGTTCAACACGTTCGAAACGTTGACGCCTTCGTGCTGGCAGGCATACATACGGCCATCAAGGTTTGGCTTCTCTAACGCAAAACGCTCGTCCCTTCGGGTGCAGTGCCTACATCCAAGTTGGCACGTGAGGCCTCGCCAGCTGCGCGACTGCGCCAGTGGTTCGATCGGAGTGTGTCGCAAAAACAAGCCGAGAGGCATGAGGCTGCAGCACTCCAAGCTGCGCGCGTGATAACCGCTCAGATCGACGGAAGTGGGAGTAATTTATAATTTGGCCGCGTGAACAGCTGTCGGGAACGTTCTACGCGAATTGACGTGGTGTATAGCGCCACAGCATTCGTGTTTACTCACCTTTGAGTCGGTTGGTTGGCGTTGATTAACCAAAGAACAAAGGGGATACACTCGTACGTTCGCCCTGATCAGCTGATCGGTATACGCCGTCCCAATGTTTACCCACAGCCCGTGCCCACAGCCCAGAGTGCACACTCTCCACAGCTTCAGAAAGTGAGCAAAGTGCTCAAAGAACACTGAACAATAGCGCCGGTCAGTAGCCCTTTCTTGGAATGTTAGTGATTGTGATGACGAGGAAAAGAGGGGACTTAGATCTGACTGTATACCACTCCCACATGCGCAAAAGACACTTAAAGGCGTGGTGACAGTCATTCCACACCAAAAGGTCCAGGCCTAATTTCGACCCTCGCGGATTCGGTCTAAGAATATTATATGTGTTACTGGTGACGTAAGAGTACCTTTTCCAGTGTATTTCAGTCAGAGTCTTGAGAGCAAGGAAATCAAAGGAAGTGTTGCTGAGCCGGAAGCTCAATATTCCAGTGTATTTTTATTATAAATTTGATTATATATATATATATATATTGGTAACGACAGCATAAATTTTTCAAAAAATAAACCCCAATCTTTTTTTTTTTTTTTTGGGGGGGGGGGGGGGGTGGGGGGCTTGAAGTCGGTTGGGGGCTAGACACTTGGGGACCTTTGAGTATAGGACATGACTGAAGATGATCTGAAGCAAAGAATGTGTTAACTAAAAACGCTCTGAAAACAAAATTCTGCATTTTTTTGTGCATTTTTCAAATCAATGAACTTTTCCATATCAAAAACTGTTTTATTTTGGTAGAAGTCTAGGAAGACCAGGAAAGTCGTTGGGCAATCTACAAACTCGCTGCCGAAAACTACAAGAATGCTGTTAGCCAGGCTAAACTTACTTTTTTTTTTCTACAACATCACCATTAATGCTAACAGAAAACCCGAAACAGTGTTAAAATACTGTAAACGGGAAAGAAACCTGTCCTGTTTCACTAACCGACGAGGACGTCGAGGGGGTTCCTAACGATGTTTGTGCTTGCTTATTAAACAGCGCGTTTTCTAAGGCCCTTTCTGCTGTTGGAAACCATTCCTAATCCTTATTTAAAGTCAGCTGTCTCCCATTCTTCCCTGTAATAAACGATTCAGTAGGTATAATTAAACTAATTGATTCTCTTTAGCTGTCCTCGTCTGCTGGTGCTGATGAAATTAATTCCACATTATTTAAACGCACTAAAATGTGCTCTTCTATAATTGTGGCAAAACTATATCATTAATCTTTAAATGTTTCCAGTTTACCTGATGACTGGAAGGTGGGGGTGCCTCTACATAAGGGCGGACCTAAGCATTCCCCCAATAACTTCCGTCCATTATCTCTAACGAGCGTTCCCCGCAAACTTTTAGAGCATATTGTTCACTGGAGTCTTGCCAACTTCCTTGACTCAAACAGTTTTTTTTTTTTTCACCCATATCAGCACGGCTTTCTGAAATCCTTCTTTTGCAAAACGCAACTTTTATCTTTCCTTCATAATCTGTATACCAATCTGGACCGTAGGTCACATACTGACTGCGTATTTCTTGATTTTTCTAAAGCTTTAGATAAAGTCAGTCATCAATTATTGTGTCTCAAACAAAGTAAACTTAATATCGACTCAAACGTACTTAATTGGATTTAGTGCTCTTTTTGCGTCAATTTGTAACAGTCAATGGCTCGAATTCTACAGAAACGTCTGTAGTGCACCTTTAACTCAGGTGTTCCTCAAGATTCAATTCTAGGTCCATCAATTTTACTCATATATATTAACGATCTGCCAGCCTGCATCTCCTCCTCTGTTTGTTTATGTGCCGATGATCGTGTAGTTTACCGAGAAATATTAACCGATAATGACATCAGCCTTTTGCAGTCTGATCTAATCTCAATAGCTAACTGATGCCGCTCATGGCTAATGAAACTAAACATCACCAAGTGCTAATCCAGGAGCGTGTCCCGTCGTAACACAGTTTTTAGCCTATTTACTACCTTAACACCATGCAATCGGAATCCGTGCAGACGTTCATTTGCGTCTAACCTGTCATGGAACATTCATATAGTGCACGTAATTAACAATGCTAACCGGATACTCGGCTTCCTCAGGATAAGTTTTTCGTACTTTTACCTCATCCCTTAACCTCCTTTTCTATAAACCACTGATTCGATTGAAGCTTGAGCAAGCAGCCTCCGTATGGGACTCCGGCATGGAGTTCCTCATTCGATCCTTAAAATCGATTCAAAACAAATCTGCACGTTTTATTCTTTCTGACTATCATCGCACCTCTAGTGCAACCTCTATGAAGCTATAATTAGCTTTGTCTAATCTTCCTTTTTGTTGACAACTTTCTCGCTTGTGTCTTTTTCATAAAATTTACTATCATCGTGCCCCGCCTGAAAACCTAGTTTTCAGGTGGTGCAGAATCATCAAAATGGGGTTGACGTTCTGCCTTGCAACACGAATGCATTTTGCTATTCGTTCATCCCTCGCACTTCTGTGGAATGGAACCACCTTCCTCACCCTACGGCAACCTTCCCTGACCCAATTGCTTTCAAAAATGTCCTGTTTTTCTTCTTGTTTTCTGATGTACGATAAGTCTTTTTTTATTTCTTGCTGTTTTGCTTCTTTATGTGTTTACCACTCCCCTCCGTAACGTATTCTGACCCTGAGGGTAAGTAAAAAAAAAAAAAGGAGAACTAATATGAAAAACAACTAGGCCCCATCCCCTTAACTGTGGTGGTTCTCTCATTTCGCCTATTAAAGGTAGAAAAATATAACGATTGTTTCTTAAAACACAACTTGAAACTCTGAGGCAAGATCAGTATCCGGTTCCATGGATGAACCATGGTTCCCCAATAACCCCATTTACAAAAAAGAAAAAAATGCGAACGGCGCTGGTGTGAAATCGTTCTTGTGAAC